ATCGAACTAAACAAGCTAAGATTCGATGACACGACGTCATTATTATTCGAAGATATTCAGTTCGGCAACGCGAAAGTAATATCTACAATCTACAATTCTAGAGATGATATCAGCTGCACCGACTTTATTTGCTATTTCCACAGTTGTATCAACCAGCTGTCTGTAATTGCGCCGATCTAGAGCCATACGTTGTGTCCGAAAGCTACGGAAAAACGGTGGTAGAATTTCTGACTTAATATAATCAGATTCAACACCGTCCGTTGCACAGCACTGCTTGACTACTTTAAGAACGATTTTTTTCATTTCTTCATCAGGAGACTGAAACTCACGGATCAAGATTAACATAACTTTACGGGTATAATAATTGGCATACTCTGCATCCATTAGAGGGATGAGGTACCCAATAGCCTTGAGAAAAGCAGCTAAACCTTTGCCTCGATGAGTTCTTATATCACGCCACAAAGGTTCCAAAACGGAGTCAAACGATTCTACGCCATAAGGAGTGGCTGCTTCAGCAAGAGCAGCCAAGGCCAATGCTGTAATGGTGCGAACTTTTTGTTGTTCATCAACCAACCCATGTTCAATAATTTCCACTAAAGACCGCAAATGCGGTAGAATTGCACAATCCATAAGGATGGATATTTGTTGGACAATCTTGATGCCAGTATGTCTAGCTTGCCAAGATATTTTAAATTTGCAAACGGCTTTTAAAAATGGCAACAAACTAGGGATTCCTAGGGCTGATGCAACGACAGCAAACGCTCTTGCAGTTGTATTACGCACATATTCGTCCATATTATCAATGTCGGGACGCATAGTAGAAATCATGGTAGCAAGTCCGGCAGCTTTCGCGTGATTAGATATTATTTCTCGTCCCTGGACACGAGCATAATAATCTTCATCAATAAGTAGGGGTTCAATAACAACCAAAATTTTGTGAACAAACGGAAGGACGAGATCATCCAGTTTATACAAAATACGATCGATGACCTTCACTAACAAATGGCGTTCTTGATCTTCTAATGTAGGAGACATCAGAAGGGGTAGTATTTGTTTAAACAAAGGTCCTGCACCGAATTCTCTTGCTTTCTCAGTGATTTGCCTTAGGGCTGATTTACGCATTGGAGGAGTGCCATTTTTAATCTTGAGCAAAAATGTCATTATCTTTCTTTCACGTGCCTCCTCAGGCGGAAGAGTGTCCTCATCGACATCTTGTAGCAGTTTATCAAAATACTGTAGGTCATCAGGTCTCATCATGGGTAAATTTGCTCCTTTGGGTTGCATGTCATCAAGAGCAGCAGCATTACCTCCGGTCGCATTCATACCAAACCCAGCTGTTGTCCCAATATCAGGTGTGCCGATTCTAAAGTCCATTGGAGTCCCTCCAATCATTGGAGTTGGTGTTGCTACCAATTGATGAGCAGGAGTCCTTATTGGGACGTAACCGGCGGGCGGTGGCATAATTTTGTAACCTGGAGGCATCAACTCATCTAAATCCTCGTCAGTTAGCGGCCTGTTTCGATCATCGATTTCTATGTTGGTTTGTTCTCTGAGCTGGGTGGTTTGGTCGTGGAGCTTTCATCGTCCTTCTGAACGACATCATCAGCACAAACTTCAGGTAGAAGTGAAGTGTTTGAATTTCTCCACATGTGATTCACAGCTTGTCCTCTGCACCTCGATGTTGATTGGTTCTTATTGACCTTAAATCTGCCATTGTCACCCAGCTCAGAGAACAAACCAACATAAAAATCACCCACCTGAGCTACAAATCTTCTCCACCATCTCATCATCGATTTCTTTCTGCCAAGCATATACTTGTAGCTGCTCGGGAGTCATTGGGATTCCTGCAACTGGTATTGTTATAGCAGCAGACCCGAAATTCGGTGTGGCCATAGCCATAGCCCGTAAACCTGTTGGAGTAGTCCCAGAAGGGGTGAAAGCGCTAGCTGCATTAAAGCCTCCAGGAGTTGCTCCTGGCGTAATTCCCCCCATAGCACTTGAAGGTGTGAAGCTGCCTGGAGTCTGAGATGGTGTTAAGCCACCTGGAGTTGATCCTGCTTTTAGTGAAGTTTCGTCCCATCTAGATCTACGCTTAACGGCAAGTGCGGCCGCAGCAGCAATGCTTGATGGAGTGGAACCCGGTCCATAAACCATTGAAGATGGTGTGTCTTGAATTGACTCTACACCGCCAGGAGTTCGATCAGCTCTGGGGGTTTCTGCCCATCCAGCACCATGACCTGGTGTATCTGCGCCATACCTTTCAGTGTGGGGAGTTTCATCCCAACGGTTACGTCTAGCACTAGGTGTCTCACCAAATGCAGAACTTCCTGTTTCTCGCCCTGGAGTAGCTGCGAAGTGGGGAGTTTCTGACCATTGTCTAACGCTTTGCACAGGGGTTGCACCAGGGTCTTTCGCTCTCCCATGAGTATCATTCCATTGTGAACGGCTTCCAGGGGTTGAGGCTCCAGTTAGTGCAGAGGGTGGACGTGAAGGAGTGAGTGCGTCATCCCCCCAACGCTTCGAAGGAGTTGATGGAGTAGCATCAGGAGTTGAAGCGTCATTCTTTACCCCGTTAACATCTGTGGTAGGCTGATCCCATCTTCGTCTTTTTGTGGGGACTTCTGAGTCCATTCGCAGCATCCCAGTCTTGCCTCTTTCGGCTATCTCTGCCTGTAATGCTCGTTGTTCCTTGGTGAGTTGCTGGTTGAGCATAATATCTTTGTACGTTGATAGACGGTGATCCGGTGTTTGATCGCCGTCAGCGAACGGGTCTACTCTGGCTGGAGAAATCATCAGCAATCGACGACGAGAACGATATTCATCTTCACGATCAGCAATAGTTGGACGGCGAATTTCACCATTCTCGGTGGTCATTCTGCGCCAGTTTTTTGTGTTGACCATTACGACGGAAAGTATTCGAAAGTATCCATAACCTATCGCACCCGGGAATAAGAGCCACGATGAAATTAATCAGTGAGCGTTTCGTATGGACAAAAATGAATCGCGATGTACGTAATTGGACACAAACATGCATGAAATGTCAAAAAGCCAAAGTACATCGTCATACTAGTTCGCCATTGGGTTCGTTTTCACAGCCAGACACTCGATTCGAACATATACACATCGATATCGTGGGACCACTGCCAGTTTCGAATGGGTATAACTATATTTTAACATGCATCGACAGATTTACCCGATGGCCTGTAGCGGTGCCAATAAAAGACACCTCAGCCGAATCCGTAGCCAAAGCCCTTATCGAAAATTGGATTTCTTACTATGGCATACCGGCAATTATCACGACCGATAGAGGAGCTCAATTCGAAAGTCGACTCTTCCAGCAGCTTACAGAACTCCTCGGAATTAAACGTATACGAACGACATCCTACCATCCAATGGCAGACGGAATGGTTGAACGCCTGCATAGGCAGTTGAAGCAACCCTTACATCTGTCATTGTCAATAACGATTGGGCTAATAAGCTTCCTTTAGTCATGTTAGGTTTAAGAACAATAATTAAACAGGATATGGGATGTTGTCCAGCCGAGTTGGTATATGGAACTACTTTACGTTTACCCGGAGAATTTTTCACTTCATGTAAAAGTGTTCCGACTGATGTAGCCAACTACGTGCAACGCCTGAAGAAACACATAAACGATTTAAAAATAGCACTTCACAGACTACAACAACGACGAGAATTTGTACCTCAGCAACTACATAATAGCACGCACGTATTCATCAGAAGAGACAATATACAACCACCTCTGCAACCGAACTATGAAGGTCCATTCAGAGTGATTACGAAGACAGATAAGACAGTTACGGTAGAAAAAGCTGGGAGGACAGATGTAATCAGCATCGATCGAGTGAAACCAGCGTTCATTGACAGCGATTTTCAGTCGACAAGTACAAGCCTCTCGAAGACGATCACACCGACGAAACACGAGTCTGAAGAGTCAACGACGCTAACGCACCAAAAAGAAAAGACTCCGATAACGACAAAATCTGGTCGCAGAGTAAAATGGCCGCAACGTTATGTCACTGCAATCTTTTACTGATAATTTTCTGCTACTTTGAATATTTATTATAATTCTTCCTCTTCATTGTATACATATGCATTATTAAGTTCATGTTATACGCTATTAAACTCGACAAAGCTTATGTACCTTTGCGCTCATACGTGTAATTTTTTTTTCGAAGCGATACCATATTCCTTCTATATCTTACCGCTATTTTGTATAGCCTAACGGACGGGCACGAACTAAATGCACATGAACTTCATTACAATTTTATACAGGCCCATATCTTCAAATGATTGTAACTACGCTATTCAATTTACTGTACTTTATGCAAACACAGACATTTTTTCATATATCTTTGTTTGCAGGGGGGAGTTATATAGCAACCATCCTACAATCAATTTTGATTATAGCCAATTTCGGTTAAGCTCTTTTTATAACTTACTTAACGGACATCGTTATTTGGATAGTAACAATTTGCATATTCTTTGCACTGCTATACCAATAGAGCACATGACGCTCTATCCGAAATGTTGACTACTTAAATATCATTCGATGACTCATACTCCCCCCCCATATATGTACGCACGCAAATACTATTATCAGCCTTTGTTTTGCCCTTATTAAATTTGACTATAAATTGCCTATGTAATTGCTTGCTACTCGCTCGCTTGCTCCTCGTTCGTTTCCTTCGCTTGTTCGCTTGTTCATTCGCTCTCTCGCTTGCCGCTCACTCGCTCGTTGATATTCGCTCAGGTGCTGTTAACTTTCTAACCTGAGTTATTCGACAATAAACTGTAGTTGCTGCCATCCTTTGTCATCTGATTTTACGCACCATTAAGATTAGAATTATAACGGTTATCGAAGTAAACGATTAACGAATCGCGGCACTACACTAGACCGTGGAGATATTTCTCATATTGACATTTTAAAATCATTTTTCAAATGTCTAAATGTTTAACATATTTTGGTGTTTTTCACTCAGGTCAACTACACAATCACTTATCGAATGGATTCAACAATTTATCTACCGTATCACAATTATGTTCCATCTGTTGCTAGTCATGGTCCAGATACAAAATACAAACTTCCTTCTCGTAACTATGCCACTGGTAAATCTAAAATGGTAGCATGGTTTGTAAGCAACTGTCAACCTAAAAGTCCAAGAATGATTTATGTCAGAGAATTGTCTCGTTATATTCAAGTGAGAACCCAGATTATATAGTTATCGATCTCATTTCTTTTGTTTGTTTAGAATCGTCGTGATACGTGACGAGTTCCAATGACAACACGAGTTTTAGTGTTGTATTTTAGGTGAACACTTTTATCAGATCAAAGCTCGATTTAAAGAGTGGACGGAGTATAAATTTGCCTCGTTGGTTAAATTAATGTGGAGATTTTCGTTAGTTTGTTTAATCCAAGAATAATATGGTCATGCAGACATACAGTATGTCACATGTATACGAAAATGGTTTGAGTAAAAGCTAATCGAACAGTGAGAAAACGGGTTAATCTCGTTGTTCTACTGGATTTTATAAAATAATTCATTGTCTTGATAGTTAGTAATTCATTCATCAAAATAGTTATTAGTATGGTATGTAAGACATTTAATACTCAAACGAGAGTTCAGCCTTAAAGTGGTTCAGACTAGAACAAGACCAAGTGAGTACGAGTCTGCTGCAATTTATCAAATGCTACACCACAAATAATAACTGTCACTAAGTGACTTTCATGATCATTTTTACTTGCCATGTGGACTGTTATTGAGCCAATGTGTGTAGAAATTAAGGGAATTTACACACTTTAGTGATTGTTCTCAATAGATATTAGGAACGTACTATAATATCGACATGTATGGAGCTAGGATTTTGGCTTCGTAATTAAATTCAAATTTTGTGTCGTCTGACGTGTTAACAAATCTGAAAACCGGTATTTATGGAAACGGTGACCAACATGTCAGTCGCATAGTAAGTACTCCCTTTCCAGTTTGATCATTCACTAAATGAAGACTTACAACCACTGTGTAACTGTTCCTGCATTCCTTTTGTGTGACTGTATATTCTGCCGATGAATTGGATATGTGTTGCGTGACACAAATCAACGGAAATAAAGTATGGTATGTTTTGAAAGACTCGAATTTCCTGATGAGGAAAATAATACGGTCAAATGGTGTGGATCGGTCTAAGCAAATATGAGTATAGCATCAGGATATATAATTAGTTCAACTCTCGTCCTACTTGAATGTATTCATTCCTATCAAAAACATGTATCTGTGATGTGATACAGTGGTCGCATAAGTTCACAAATATCACAGTTTTCTTGAAATTTCTCTCAGTAAAATAAACGACTAATGTTCTGACTTTATGCTAGAGAGAAAGAAATATGACTGCAATAGTCAAACTTCAGTCTATATTGATATTATGAGCATTCCTGCAAGTGTAATAACTCAGGTAGATGTAGGATAGTACTTTTTATGAGTATGAATGTAATCTCATGGATTTTCGGTCATTGCTCAAGATGCACATGTGTTCTGTCCTGTTGAAAGTTATAGGCATTGCAGTTTTAAATTTCGACTATATGCTTCGTAACATTAGAAGCAAGACGACTCATGAATGCAAAAACTTCCAGACTCATAAATACTTAATGAACCTTCTGCTTTCAGCATCTCACACGTTTCCCCAACTTCTTTACAATTTAAAACATCAAGTTCACTTTGAAAAGTTTCTAATTTACTATGAGAAATCAGTATATATATGTATACACATTAATAATCAAGTCAATCTCTTCAACCTGATTTTGTGTAACAATGTTCGTTGTTGTTGTCACCGACTAGTTTCCATGACATAGTCTGACATCCGGTTGCAAACTGTTTCTGTTTATCACTTATTTTTTAAATACCAGGTTTCTTTCAATGCTAGAGAAATAAACTGCTTATTCTTTGATTTATTTCATAGGTTGATATTTATGGTACTTGCGGTACTCTGACATGCCCTAGAAAAGTCGAAGATCAATGTTTTTCGCTACTTGGAAAACATTATAAATTCTACTTGAGTTTTGAAAATAGTTTATGCACTGATTATATTACGGAAAAGCTTTTCAGAAATGCATTCAGGTAGGTAAACAATCGAATTTCAATAATATTGTTAGATGTTTACTACATTTTGAAAATCTTTCAGTTGATAGATTGAGTGTATTACCTCTATATGTTTGATGTGGCATTTGATGAACATAGTATATCGTTTGTTATTTTGCTACTAACTCTCGATGAACAAAATTACTTTATCGCTGTACTAAATCTTCATGGAGTCAAATAAACCGGATGAATATATTTTAGAGTGTGTGAAATTGATTTGGTAGATACGTGCAGTACTGTATTTGTTCGATGATAACAGTATTCCAAAATTGATGAAGTTTAGTTAGTTTCAACAACACATACCGTGATTTTAGTAATCTGTAACATATCACTCATTTTCACAAGATAGATTTGAGTGGTTAAGCTTAATTATCTGTGATGACTAATTTATTTTCTCTCCCTTCACTTGTCATTTCCATCACCTCACTAAAGCATTCAACTATTGTATCTGGTTTGCTTAATTAACATAGTCAAAATGTAATTCCAGTTGTGATGGGTGCATCAATTGAAGAATGTAAGCGTGTTGCTCCTTCTCATTCGTTTATCCATGTGGACCAGTTTGAATCCCCAGCAAAACTTGCCGATTATTTGAAGTATTTGGACAGAAATGAAACTGCCTATAATGAATATTTCGCATGGCATGAACATGGGACTATAGATGCTTGGTCACCTATGCCTCAATGTGTTATATGCTTATTAGCCCATACTGCTCATAAACTGAAACCGTATACATTCCCAAACGTTTCTAAATGGTGGAACGATGGTTGTGTTGGTCGGAAAATACGCTGGAATTTTACCCATTAGCAAATTTTTACAGTTTTGAATAGTACTTATATGACAGGTAACTATGATTTTGGCTCTGTATGATATGAAATAATTAAGTTTTTATTAGTTCGTTATTTTTATAAAAAGTTCACTCAAAACTATTTATGGGATTCTTTAGACAAAATAACCTGTGTTTGTCAATATTTCCAGTTTATTGTCTCTACAACATAAATTTCTAACCAGCATAATCTACTTAACAGCAATTAATAGTATACAAATTGTGTAAAGATTAATGAAATTGTAAAACTATCAGTCAATAGAATTCAACAATATCTCCTTTTTACAAAATGAATTTCATATTCAAAAATCTTCTAGAAATGAAAAAATGTTTTACACAAATGTGATGCTTTACTCTAATGTTCTATAAATTTTTGTCTTATTGGAATGTTCAAATTGGTTATTGGCATGAACTTTAATGATTGTTTATGGATTATTTTGTTTAGCTCTTCTATTTATTTCAATAACAAATGGGTCATGGTCACAATACAATAATAAGAGGAAACAATGAAACAGAATGATTAGAACCTATATTGAATAATTGTTTAACCTAAAAATAGAACGGTAGAGAAGTAGGTTTTACAACAGGTTGACAAAGGTAAACCTATTAACAATCGTTAAGGGAACAATAAATACAAAGATATCCTAGTAAAGCAGCTAATCCTTTAATTTAACTCCGCCTGTAGATCCTCCAGGGACTACTGTCGGTCTCAAGCCTCTATAAAGGAAGAGGGTTGGGCATGGGGTTTGCGACCCCATCCCGTAGAAAACCAACTCGCTAAAAAACGCTAACCAGAAAAAAATTATTCAAACCATTTAAACTCTGCCCTGGGAGTAAAAGGAATAATTATTACTTCTCATGATGAAAGCCGAGTCCCTTCTGAAGTCATGAGGCCGATGCACCTTCTAACAACCCGAGCGACAATTTTTATAGGTACATGGTAGAACACTTCAAAGAACTCTTGAATCGACCAGCTCCACTGAACCCACCCAACATCGAAGCAGCACCCACAGACCTCCCAATGGATGTTGGCCCACCAACAATTGAAGAGATCAGCATGGCCATTAGACAAATCAAGAGCGGCAAAGCAGCGGGACCAGAAAACATCCCGGCAGAGGCACTGAAAGCAGATGTAGCAGAAGCTGCCAAGATACTCCACATCCTCTTCAGTAAGATTTGGGACGAAGAGCAAGTACCATTAGACTGGAAAGAAGGACTTCTCATCAAGATACCAAAGAAAGGCGATCTGAGCAAGTGCGACAACTACAGGGGCATCACTCTTCTCTCAATACCAGGAAAAGTCTTCAACAGAGTATTGTTAAACAGAAGAAGAATTCCGTAGACGCCCAACTTCGAGATCAGTAGGCTGGATTTCGTAAGGATAGATCGTGTACAGACCAAATCGCAACTCTAAGTATCATTGTGGAACAATCAATCGAATGGAATTCATCATGCTACATCAACTTCATTGACTACGAGAAAGCATTTGATAGCGTGAGAAAACAAGAGAGTCGATTTCTAAAATTATCAAATGACATGATCGATTATCGTTGACTGAGTTGATCGAATGTGACTGGTACCAAACTGAAATAAAGAAAACATTCTTAGAAACGACAAATGTTCCTGGACTGACTCACATTGCTGACGCACAAGTATAAAAGCTAACGAAATCGATGTGAAGCTATAGAAAATAAATTTCTTAATAATTACTAGCTAATAATATTGGAAGTGCTTCAGCGTAGCTTCGTAACTAGTAAGCAGGTATCTTATGAAATATAATTTGTTGCACAATGATATGATAAATCCTTAAAGTTTGCTGACTACAATATATATGTGCGACGGTTTGTGTCGTTCATCCACTCTTCTTCTCTCATTTGATAAAGAAAGAATTAGAACAACATATGTAAGCGAACAATTGTTTTCAATTAGATCGTCATCAGGCTTTACTCTAATATACATGAATATTTATATGAAAATGTTAGATTAATCAAGGCTATTTGAGTCAATAATCACAATGAAATAGAATACGTTACCAAGCATAATAATAGTTAAAAGTTGAAGTTGATAGTGTGACGACAGGTGTACTGATAGTAGTAAGAATAGTAAATTACGATAACAAAAGTTTTATCAGTAATTAAACATAAGAATTAAGAGGTCAAACGTGGGTAAATAGACTGGAATGGTAATCACAAAACATTAAAATCATTACGTAACAAGAAGTATGTAAGTAAATAGATAGTGAAGAATATAAACGGAAAGAGGTAGAAAATTACAAAAAATGACGATCAAATTAAGATAATAAAAATAAAATTTTACAAATAATAATAATCAGAAGGGGTTTTGTGGAGATTTTAGTATTTTATAGAGTTGAGATCATGAGTCAATTGAAGCTAGACTACCATGGAAAACCTGGAAGCACTGGACGGCCGTTTCGTCCTATTATGGGACTCCTCAGCAGTGCGCGTCCACGAACCCACTCTCGCGGGATTCGAACCCAGGACCTACCAGTTTCGAGCCGAAGCCCTTAACCGATAGACCACTGAGCTGGCATCCAACGGTGTTAATTTCTAACTTCAACTGATTCACGAAATTGAGCAACCATTCACCATCCAACCATTCATAATAGGACGAAACGGCCGTCCAGTGCTTCCAGGTTTTCCATGGTAGTCTAGCTTCAATTGACTCATGATCTCAACTCTATAAAATACTAAAATCTCCACAAAACCCCTTCTGATAATAATCAGGTGCTCACTAGTGACTGACTCCTTGAGGTATTTCCTGGAGTTCTAGTGAGAAGCAGTAACCGGTGGAGTTCAACCAGGTCTGTTGTGAGATAGGAACTCACTGATGACATTGGTGAATGGTTGCTCAATTTCGTGAATCAGTTGAAGTTAGACATTAACACCGTTGGATGCCAGCTCAGTGGTCTATCGGTTAAGGGCTTCGGCTCGAAACTGGTAGGTCCTGAGTTCGAATCCCGCGAGAGTGGGTTCGTGGATGCGCACTGCTGAGGAGTCCCATAATAGGACGAAACGGCCGTCCAGTGCTTCCAGGTTTTCCATGGTGGTCTATCTCCAATTGACTCATGATCTCAACTCTATATATTCCTTTTAATCATTGACAATAAACTGTCTCCAAAACTGATGTTCAAGCTGTTGAATAATCACGAGTAATTTCGTAAAACTACTAGATTTAATCTGCATCAAATACTCAGTTAACAAGACACTAATTATTAGAGTCAAATATATTGAGGAATGAACCTCTACAGTTTCACAACTTCTCAAGATGATTACAATTTCAATAGTTCTTGTATTAATAATTATATACAATTGTCAATCGCAATTCGTTCAACATTTTCAAAGCAAATTTATAAACTTAATGAGCTCTTGAGTTAGACAGAACACATCAATTGTTTTATTGAAAAAGTAGATATTTACTTTAGTTCAACTCTTTCCCCGTTTTTCACTCCCTTTATTCTCAAACTGGTAGGTCCTGAGTTCGAATCCCGCGAGAGTGGGTTCGTGGATGCGCACTGCTGAGGAGTCCCATAATAGGACGAAACGGCCGTCCAGTGCTTCCAGGTTTTCCATGGTAGTCTAGCTTCAATTGACTCATGATCTCAACTCTATAAAAGAATAATAATGTCATTTATTAAGTTATGTCCGGCCATGGAAGGGATAGGGGGGTTACGAATTTCTTCTGTTCACATAAATTGGGATGGAATGTACGAATTCCTATGGCTTCTGCTATATGAAGTAGACGGAAGCGAACTCCGTTGGGAAATGATGGAGGTTTACGATAGATCACTTGAAATGATTTCAATTTATCAACAATATGACCACTATCAACTAGATGTGCCAAGATAGAACTGCGTATTGTTTTTATTTGGCCCTTTCCAAACCATGCTGGTAGATGTTCACTCATTCGTTGGTTAAGTTGCCTAGTAGTACGCCCGATATAGCTATCTCCACAGGAGCAGCTGAACTTATAAATGCACATGGAGGAGGCCAAATCCGGTAACTTATCCTTCGTTTGAGTAGACATCACTGGTCGACTCGAGAAAGTCAATGCGAGATAGGCTGCGTAGAAAGTTCTACTAATTACTTTTGTTAACCTATCTTTCAGAGTTTCACTAGTTACATCCCCGTCGAATGGTAATTTCATGTATAGAGGCTTCTTACGAACAGTTGAAATCTCCGACTTCTTCCTTGTAACATACATGTACTTTTTGATGAACGCAGCAGGGTAGCCGATCTCAGTCAGTGAGTTATAGATCAAAATAAATGGATCATGAATATGAATAGTTAAGCTATTTAACAGTTATAAAATAGGAAATATACATATCATATATGTCCATTAATAATCCTCAAAGTTAACATTCATAATTCTACTCGGGATATAATATTTACATATGAATGTAACTCCTTTCCTTGATTGTTATGTTAAACTGTTCAACCACAAAAGCTGAAAATTAAACACCCAACTGGTTTAGCATCATTGATGAGACTGTTTATTCAAAGCTTACAACATTATGGTCTAGAGTTCATCTCGATAGTTAACAGTGGAGTAGTTTCCACGGCTCCTAGTGTATCACTTCTAGAAGAATTATTGTAATTCAAATCATACTAATGAGATCCATTCATGGTCTAGAAACTATCATTGGTAGAACGACAACGATCGCTTAGAGAATAATCTCGAATCATGATGCCATGTATTTTTTCCCGCATAATTCAAAACTGTTTTTTAGTCAATAACCCTAACATCATAAATAAATTCATTAGAATACAAGATAAACTATTATGCATTGTTCATTTAAGGTTAAAATATTGAGTTTATTTGATAACAGAAAACTATTAATAAACAAATTATGCGGGTCCATCATAAAAAACATAGGCTTCAGTTCACTACGTCTTTTTCTTATAACCGCATAATTTTGCATTCAAAAGTAATTTGAACCAAATATATATTAATGATAATCCCG